TCCCTGTCCTCCTCGGCCTCCGACCCCGCGCCCCCCGAAGGGACGGTCCTGCCCACTCCCGGCTCCCTCTCTGGCTCCTCTCCTGCCACCCCACGTAACGTGGATCACTTGGTCATCCCTCCCCACCCGAAGGTCCTGGCGCCCTTCTCCCCGCCACCCACCGAGCCAAAGAGCAAGGAAGGGGCGGTGGCCGCCTTGCTCCTCAGCAGCCAAGCCCCGAAGCAGCCAAGCCCTCTCGCAAAGAGGGGGTCGCCCCCACCATCCCCTCCGCCGGCCTACCACCCCCCTCCGCCCCCTGCGAAGAAGGCCGAGCCGAGTCCTGTGGACACTGCTGCCGCGCCGGTTCCTTCGGAGACTGAGCTGGGGGCTTCCGCAGACCCCCTGTGGCTCCCTCCGCCCCCACCCCCGACCGATGAGCATGATCCCTCCATGGCTGACTTTCCTCCGCCAGACGAGGCCTGCTTTCTGCTGCCCCCCCCGCTCTTGCAGGCTGAGTCTGCAGAAGCCTCCCCTGCCGAGACAGGGTATACAGAGGCCCCCCCAGGCCCCCAGAGAGCAGCCCCTGCAGGGCAGGACAATGCGGTGCCCTCTTCCTCGCTCTCCTTCTCCACCATGGTCTCCGCCAAGATCCTGCAGCAGGGAGTCGAGGGCAGTTCGCCGCTGCCAGCTCCAAGCACAGAGCCCTGCCCGCTACCCAAAGTTTCGCCAAGCAGGGAACCGCCCAGCTCTCAGCTCGGCCCCAGGAACCCCACGGCCTCGGCGATGGCTGCGCCCCCGCCCTCCAGCCTCCCCGTTCAAACTAAGAAGCCACCCAGCGGCTCCCACCCCGACCTCAAGAAGGAGCCCGCCCCTCGCAGCAAGGGCAGCTCAGTGCCCAAGGAGGATGCCAGTCTGCCCATCGTTACACCATCTCTGCTGCAGATGGTTCGCCTGCGCTCGGTTGACGTGGATGCTCACGGCCCCGCGGTCGGCCCAGCCGGGACCAGATCCCCCACGGAGCCCAGCAGGCCGCATGTGGCCACCAACGGGAAGATGGGCCCCTCCGCCCCCCAGAAGCCTCTCCGCAAGTCCCTGTCCCTGCGGGGGGGCCAGCCCGCTTCGAAGGAAGCGGTGAACCCGCTGCACGAGGCCGTGCGCTTGAAGGCCTCCACCTTGTCTTCCAGGGAAGCGGCGAGCCTCGGAATGGCCGAGAGGAAGGCCGGGAGCCGGGTGGCGCTGCCGGGCGTCCCTGCCGCCGAGTCAAACAACGGCCCGGTGTCCCCAGTCTGCAAGTCGCCCGCTTCCACCGCCAGCTTCATTTTTGCCAAAGGCCCCAGGAAGCTGGTCATCGAGACAGCGTCCTCTTCAGAGGCTCAGGCCAGCCTGCAGAAGAGTCTGGTGGCTGAACTGATGACTGTCTCCAGCCAGAGATCCACAGCGGCCCCGGGGCTGCATCCGCAGGGCTCAGGCAAGGCCCCCAAGCCCCAGAAGATCCCCCCTCCCATTGCCAAGAAGCCTTCTCTCGGGCCAGGGCACCGGCAGCCCCTCCCAAGCCCAAAGTCCCCCGGAGTCGAGGATCCAGACGTCGGGGAGAGGACTGAGAACGTGGATTCTGAAAACCGGGCCCTTCCCGCAGAGTCCAGCGTTGACAGCCCCCCAGCAGCGCCCGAAAACCAGTTGCAGAGCCCCACAGCACAAGGTGAGCGGGGCGGGAAACGCAAGGTCCCAATGCAGCAGCAGCGTGGCTGGCAAATCTGTCACGGTGGGGGCCCTTCCCGGTTCAGGGGAGCTGCAGCGGGTGGAGCAGTAACTGCAAGGGAGTGGGACGGGGGTGTTTTCCTGGGGTTTGGGGGGATTTCTGTGTAAGTGTTTGCTCTGGGCCTGGTGGCATGTCCCCCCTTCTGCTGAAGCAGCCCTGGAGCGTGTGCATGAGGGCAAGATGGGATCATTGGTCTCTGGTCCTGCCCATGGGCTCCTCAGAGGTAGCAGGTGGCACATCTCATGCTCAGAAAGGTCACCCTCAAACGCTTCCTGTAACTTTAGGAGATCAATTGGATATTTTATGCCACTTGAAACTCACCTGGCTAATCCTGCTTGGGCTTGGAAGTGAAGCCTGGTGGAGCTGCCTCAGCATTTCGGGGGGACTCCACCAGGAGATGCTAAGGCTGTAGATTAGTTGGAAGAACATCCCGGAATCAGGCAGTGGCAAAATGTATTGCTGCCAAGAAAATACATGGGTAAGCATAGGAGTCAGCCTCCCCCCCCACCAATTCAGACATGGGCACCAATTGGGGTGCAGGTACAGGGAAGAGGCCAAGGAAGAGGCAGCTCCTTGAACCCATTTGCCACTCAGGCAGGAAATCAAGGGGGCTGCCTTTACATCCACATTAAAAGCAGCTGTTTTCTTTCCAAGAACAAACCCCAAATGGCTGTCAAAACCTGCCGAGGTTCCGGCCAGCCATAGAGGGTGGGGTGGCTGAGCAGGCGGTTCAGCAGCCCGTAATGAGGGGTGTTCCACGCACCCTCCGCATGACTCCTGGAGTCACATGTGCTGCTAAGCCGTGGCTTGGTTAAGCATGGCGTGTCTGCTCAGGCATAATGGCTGAATTCCAGTACTGCACCAGCCTGTAAGATCGCTGCTGGATTCACACGTAGTCCAGGCAAGCCACTTTCTGGCCTAGTGCAATAGCTGAACTACCTTTAGCAGAAGTACGTGGATATCCACATCCAGATACATAAAAGGGAGTCATGGGGTAAAGAGTTCTTTTCCATGGCCACAGAAATAATATCAAGTTGTAGCTCTTATTCACGTCACTACAGGTGGTTCTCACTGAACGGCCACTCATTCAGTGACCGAACTTGCGACGGCGCTGAACAAGTACTTACGACTGGTCCTCGACGTTCTGACTGTCACAGCATCCCATAGTCACATGATCGTGATTTGCGACTTTCCCTGCCAGCTTCCCACAAGCAGCGTCAATGGAAAAGCTGGCAGGAAATCGCAAGTTGCAACGGTAACTGGGGACTGCCAGAATGCCATCACTAAGTGGCATGGTCGTGGCGTTGCGCTTTACAACTGCATCGCTTAGCGATGGCAATTCCAGTCCCAATTCCTGTCATTAAGCAATGACTACCTGTAGAAAGAGAAAATTCCTGATGATAAATCCACGTAACAGTGGAACGATCTGCCTATGGAAGTGGTGGGCTCTCTGTCTTGAGACAGCCACCTCTCATGGATGGTTTATTTTCCTGCACATTATAGAAGTTGGACTAGATGATCCTTGGGGTCCCTTCATAATTCTCGGATTGGTCAGATGTGCTGAACTGAGCTGGGCCCAAAGCACTTTGCAGTTGCCACCAAATTCAAATGAACGGATGTTCCACCCACCGTGACATCATCCTGGGAACAGTGTCAGTTTGTCTGGGAGGCCGCTCCCCTGCTCTGCCGCCCACGGGTGTGGGTTCGATGGTCTGCCACTGACTGCCAGGCTGGTGCCCGTTTTCTGTATGTGAGATGGGCGGCTGTGTGAATCAAGTAAATGCTGATAACAACAACGGTACCGAAAGTTGGGAGAAGCGGGGCAGGCGTGGCACAAGGTTCTTGAGCTCTTCTGCAAAACCGCATGCTGTTTCTGGGAAGTTAAAGTAACCCGGCTCTCTCGTTGCAGACGTCAAAGAGGAGGTGGCGTGAAGGACAGCCCTGCGGTACCCTTGCCCGTAAGATACAGGGATTTGAAAACAAAAATATTCTCAGGGACCTCATTAGGGCCAGAAGAGGGGCTTCGATCCAGTGACGCCGAAGAAAACAACACAGCCTTAGTCTCTCATGGCCTTGATATTTATGCAACGGTGGTCGGGCTTTGGATGCCTTCAGCGATACGGCGCGCTCTTCCACCCGGAGACGAAGGAGCACATTACCTTTCCACACTTCCGTCTCTCCCTGGACTAGACCCTCGCGCCATCAGTCCTGCTTGGCTTGGTGGTGTTGAATCCCCCCTCCCCTTTTTGTGCGTGTGAGGAAACAGCTTAAGAAAGCATAAGATGAAGACAATTAA